TGTAAACTGTTTATAACTAAAAGGTCTTTTACAGCTTAGTGATAAGTGTATATTTTTATAAGGTATATCTTAAGATGACTATGTTACAGAAGATGGTTGGGGAGGGAGTTTGTGTTAGCTTGCTGCTTTGACAAGAAACATTTATTGTTGAACAGCCTTGAGCCGAAAGGGAGAACACGTTTCTTAGAGCAGATAACAGGAAGCACAAGGGGATTTATAATTTTTTACGATTAAGGCACAAAACTCTATTAACCCTTTGCAGAGAGAAGCTCTGAACTCAGCTCTCTGTGCTCCTCCTAAACCTGGCCACATTAATCAGCATTTTATCGATGCTAAGTGTCCCTGCACTGCCCTTGCAGCGGGAGAATCCCCTTGCTGGACCAGAGCCGCGGTGAGCATGCAAGCCGTGGCTTCTCACATTTGAGCCTAATAATAAGTAAAATTGCAGTTGCCTCATAGTGCTCAATAAATACATTGGACGTCAGTGAGTAATGCAAATTGTGCTGCTCAGTAAACGTGAAGAGTCAGTGCCTGATTTAAATAGTCCAATCAAAGAGCAGTTACCCTGTCAAAATAGGCCCACCCCTCTCACTTGCTTTGAATTCTGTCATCACCACCTTTGTCGAAAGCCATTTAACTTCCTGTGGCACTTGTATCCACTCCCTCATGAGCTCACGCCAGTAAGTGAAAGTACCCTGCCCAGATGAGCTGGACTAATCTATGAAAAGCCCACTCGTTGTACTGCTCTCCTGTCAGATTCCTCCGCCTGGCTTTCCAACTCTTCAGCTATGTGATGCATTGTTGTTAATTATGGTCACCTGCTGCGCACTTGAACACGAAATTGCTACTTCCTGTCAAACAGTGAGGTTGCACAGCTGAGCGGCCCCTCCCACTCTCGCGCTGTGCTGCTTTTCCAAGCCTCCGGAAGCAGCTAGTAGTCAACTCACAACCTCCTTTGTGAGATACACTTCCTTTGGATTCGACTTAAGAGTCAAATCATACCTTGTTCACTGTCCAATGTGTGTGTATGTGTTCATGAATCAAAATATAGAATTGTACCTCGTAAGTAGAAATAGTATGTGTCAATCAATGAAATGTTTTTAGTGTTAAAAACTGTAGCTCTTCTAGTCACAAAACTCTTGCGTGCTCTCCAATGCAGGGTCTCTATTCTAGTGAGGCTGTTCTTCCCACTGCCCCGTGGAGAATGATGTGCCTCCCAGCCTTGATTCCAGAGCTCCCATTTGTCCTCTCACCAGAGCACCCTGTCCTCTCCACTCTTTTGGTCTGAATTTTGCTAGTAACTTGGGCCTTGCTGAGGTCCTGCCTGCCCCACGCAGCCCAGTCTCATGAGCTCCTGGGTACTTCTCCTCCATACCGTTCCTATTCCAGCCACACTGCCGACAGTGATGCAAATAGGTGAGAGAACCTCTCGCAAGATATTTTATTTATTTTTTTCCATAATTTTATTGAGAAATAAATAGCAATGAGACAGTTTCAAATCAAATTGGTAGGACAGTTCCAATAATTAACACATTGCATACTGCCTTCCTAGTGGTTGTTTATTGTACAAGATGCAGACATGATATCCTATTTACAAACACTATTAGAACAAATCCCTCTATTCCTTGAATTAAGAGAATATAGCTATATATCTAATTTTAAAGTACATAGAAGTTACAGTACAAGAGGATGCCTATTTTCTCCTCAAACTCACAAAAGAAAGAAAAAAGCCACAAGGTCACAGGATTTTTATATATCTTGTTCAAAACAGAAAACAAAGGCTTTGAATAAATATTTGTGAAATAAATGAATAAAGGTATGAAATTGTGCATCCTGGGTGGTGTAAAAATAGTTCCTATTTCTTCAGGGGGAAGAAGACAATTTTGAAGTATGAAAATATTTGATTCAGCATGACACATTATCTATATTCTTAAGTGGAATCATATAAGACTAACAGTTTATGGTATTCATTCATCTAAAATGCACCAATTAAATTCTAAATTTAGAGACATTTCTGAAAACAGTGATTATTTTATCCTAAAGTGTCAATTAACAGTCATATATTTTCTGGAATTTTAGGCTAATATCAATATAAATTAAAATTAACATAAGATAATTCTAGTGCAAGTCTAAAGAAACAGCATAAAAATGATATGAGACTATTCTAGTTCAAAGTAAAAATGCAAGCAGGTTCTTGTTTAGAGTAGAATGATGATAACTGAAGCATGGATAGCTCCACTGAACAAGTCTTTCCTAATTCATGTGATTATTTTTTAAGAATTGTGATTTTTTGGGGGGCAGGGCGGGCTGACTCAGGCTGCCTTAAGGGTAAGTCTCCTAAGGCGGGTGGAGGTGGGGATTGAACCATGGTATCCTGTGCCTGACTGCATTTGCATGAGCAGGCGCTTAAACAACTGAGCTAATGGACACGCCCCCGTGATCTTTTCTTAAGATAAAAATTGCAGCCCACTCTTTCAAAGCTCTTAGTCCAGAAATCTGTAACGGATTAAATATTTGTTAAATTTTTAAATAGATTCTCCTGGAGAGCCTTTTGAGGGGAAGAAATCAAGAAGGAGTGATATAGATGTTTTGAATCCCAGAAAAAGGAAAAGGAATTCTGCTGATCATCTGGAGGACATTTTAGAGTGCTATAAAAGGCAGAAATTCCAGTATGCTGGTTTTTTTTGCTTTTTGTTTCTTGTTTTTTCTTCATCCAGGTATGATTCCAGAGCTCCAAGACAGGATGTGTTACCGGGTTCTGGGGTTCAATGGACTCTTTCTAGGGATTCTTTCCAGGTTCTTGTTATCCTGAAGGAAAAATTGGAAGACACATGAAAAAAGTAGTTTTTCATTTATTAAATGTAGGAAACGAAGGATGCTCTGCAGAATGAGAGCGACCCACTGAGAAAACAGAGTGGCCACAAGGTTAATGGTAGATGTCTTTTTATCCCTCATTTTTGAAGCTGATGTCAGTTTTAGGCAGTCCTAGCAAAATTTGAATTCTCTCCTTAAGAACTGAAGATAACACCTTCTGGTTGGTCCCAGGTGCAGCACTTAGCAACCGTATCTGTGTCCCAGATCTCTGATTGACAAGTCATACGCACATGCTTAGTTGGTTATCCTCATCTCCTGCCTCTTTTACTCCAAAATACATAAATCCCCAGAATTCTTTATGAGACACGGAGGGTATGGAAATGTCTGTCTTTGTATAGTTACCGCCAGTTTAAAGGGACAGCAGGCCCTGCCTACTGGGGACTAAGTGCATCCAACTACCTTGAGATGTTGAGGCTCAGTAGCCCAGTAGAAACAAAAGACCTGCCAGAAAGAACTTAGTGCCCAGATGTCAAGTCCCAGTGAGCTGCCTGTTTAATGGAAGAAAGCTTGATAAATTTATCAGGAGTCATGGGCTATCATTTGGATCACCATTAAAAGTTTTGTAGGGATAAACTCTATTAGGGTGAAGATGTCAAGGACAAATATAAGAAGGTGCAGGTCTGTCTTGAAAGTTGGACTCTGACAGATCAAATAATGAGCGAGCCACTCAGATTCTGTGCAAGAAACATATCCCTTGGAAAAGTTTAGGGAACGAATTGGGAGCAATTAATTTAAGTAATGGATAGGATAAAAAGGAGTGGCTGTTTTGAAGCCTAGTTAGTGAAACACCAGCAGAGCAGACAGAGTACATAAACATTGAGGCTTTGAACA